ATGGTGATGCCGTGGTTGCCAGCACAAACCTCTCTGGGTGTGTGTTAAGTGCTGTCCATGCACAGCCAGGGATGCGGGAGCTGCCAGGCCCGCTGGGGTGGGAGTATTCCCCATCACTCCGGGAAGGAGGGAACTCTTGGGCATCAAATGCTACCTGGGGGAGCCTTGGTGCTGGTTTGGGGCCATTCAAGGTGGTTGCAGCCCTTTGCGAGGCACATGCTTCTCCTTGGCCTGGGGGTGCTGCTCGGCCTGGCTGCTGCATCTGCTGCTTTTCAGAAATACGAGCAAGGCTTCATCACAGACCCCGTGGTGCTGAGCCCCAACGACCGAGTGCGGGACGTGTTTGAAGCAAAAGCTCGGCACGGATTCTGCGGGATCCCCATCACGGACAACGGGAAGATGGGGGGGAAGCTGGTTGGGATCATCTCGTCTCGAGACATCGATTTCCTGAAAGAGTCAGAGCACGACTTGCCTCTGGGCGAGGTGAGAAGGGGCCTGTGAGCGCCTGACGGGTACAGCAGCAGCAGAGCAGGATGTGATAAGGAGGGCGAGTGCATGGGAGCAGCTCCACATCAGCTCCACAGGTCCAACTTTAACCCTGTTTCCAAGGGAGAGCATCCAGTTGTCGCTCACTCTGCAGCTCCTGCAGTGCAGAGGCAGGAGTGTGGCCATGCGGTTGGCACCGGCATGAATCCTCCTGTGGGGTTACGTTTCAGTGTTGTGGAAGCTTCCTCTCTAGAGCTGGTGCTCTCCCCTGGTTCTGTAATTCCTGGTGTTCCTGGCTGCTGCTGTGATCCCATGTAGCGTGCTGGTGCTGGCCAGGGCTGTGGCAGCTGTGTTGTGCCCAGCCACCCTCCACGTGTTGATCTTTCTTTACTGGACTGACCTATATGCCTCATCTTGCTCTTTAAAATAACCCCTTGGACGCGGAGACTGGCAGTTTAACCTTTATAATGCTACTGCATCAGAGTCCCCCCGTACAGGAGAGCGATCTCTGGGATGCTGATGTTGATTCCTGTCACACGAGCTGTGTAACCGTAGCTCTGCAGCACTGTCAGGTTACACCCCCAGTGCCTCTCGCCCAGGCTCTGCTCTTGACTCACTGCTATTTTCAGCTCTTGCTGACCAAACCTGCTGCCACGTGCTCATCCCTCTTCGATTTGAAATCGCCTATAAATACCTGTAACGAGAATCTTAAACCAGGAGTAGGTTCTAAAAGCGCACATGGCCCTTTGAAGCCATGCTGGCCCATTCAGAGGAGCAGGAGAAGAATCTCCTCTCCTCCTCTACGTGGATCATTCAGCAGTGGATCATTCAGCCCTGCACAGTTGGAAGCTTGCTGCTGTCACCAGGCAAAGCCAAGGGAATGAATGATCTAGGTCTCTTCCCACTCACTGCCCAGCACTCATCCTGCTGAGCCATTCATTGCCATCCAGTTAAACACACAGGTTTCCTGTAGCTCGGGAAGCTCGTGGATCCCCCAGGCTCAGGGAGTGTTGTGGGATATGGCTGTGATTCCTCAGGCTTTTCCTGAACCGTGGGTTCTGTCACAGACAGAGTTTTGGATGGGTGCATCTTTCCCGATGCAAAATGTCTGTTCTTATGGTATAAATAAGTGAAATGATCCCTCTTTGTTGTGTTCAACTAATCGACCTTCCTTGAGGGTTAGAGTTTTCCTTTTTAGCTTTGCTTGGCCTTCTCGAGTAGCCTGAGCTTTGTGATGGCAGAACACTGCAGGTGGGAAGGGACCTCCAGGTCTCTTGTCAAGCCTCCTGCTTGAGGCACGTCCTGGGGCTGTGTCTGTGTCTCCAAGGATGGAGATTTGTGTTTCCTCACTGGGCTGCTCTTCAGTGTTTGACCACTGTTGTGGTGAAAGCTTTTTTCATAGAACCCCAGCCTGGTTTGGGTTGAAGGGACCTTAAAGCTCCTCCAGCTCCAACCCCTGCCCTGGGCAGGGACACCTTCCACTAGAGCAGGTTGCTCCAAGCCCCTGTGTCCAACCTGGCCTTGAACACTGCCAGGGATGGGGCAGCCACAGCTTTTCTGGGCACCCTGTGCCAGCGCCTCAGCACCCTCCCAGGGAAGAGCTTCTGCCCCAGAGCTCATCTCAGTCTCCCCTCTGTCAGGTTAAAGCCATTCCCCTTGGCTTGTCACATCAGCTGTCCCCATGTTCCAGCTCTGTTGCCCCCTGCTGTGTTTTGGTGCTGGTTTGTCAGGGTGAGTGTGTGCTTGGACTGAAGTGACTCCTCTGCCCCCCCGGCCCTGCCCCAGCAGTGGGTTATTCTGGGCAGAGCCCTCCCAGAGCCTGTGTCCTGGGGATCGCTGCCTGAAAACAAGCCCAGGGGTGGCGTTTCTGCCAGAGCAGCATGGGACCGCGGCCGTGTCTCCAGCCCTTATTTGCCTGTGCTCTATTAAAAGGGAGGGCTCTTTGGGTGACCTCCCAGACAAGGGTCATCTGAGAGTTGTCCCTTGCTTCTGGGTGCTCTCCCTCGGCTTGCTGAGGCCCTCTGCCATCTCCTCTCTTCACTGCACTGATGGGCTTGGGGGCTGCTTGCGTGCTGGAGGCTGTTCCTCTCCGTTCCTGGAGGCGTGTTGCTTGTTCCTCTGTGTTCTGGAGGCGTGTTGCTGTGCTGTGGGCTCCTTTGTCTGCAGAGCACTGGCACATGGCAGCGTTTCACATGGGCACAGGGGGGTTGGTATTTTTGGAGCAGAGCGAAGGAGTTCTTGTGACTTTTTATCTTCTCCCTCCCACCAGATCATGACAAAGCGGGAGGATCTGGTGGTGGCCCCGGCTGGCGTGATGCTGAAAGAGGCAAATGAAATCCTGCAAAGGAGTAAAAAAGGTACCTGTGGATGTTTGTGATCATAGAATCATGGAATGGTTTGGGTTGGAAAGGGCCTTAAGATCATCCAGTTCCAACCCCCTGCCATTTGCAGGGACGGCTCACATTAGACTATGTTGCTCTGTCCAACCTGGCCTTGAACACTGCCAGGGATGGAGCATTTACCACTTCTGTGGGCAGCACGTTCTAGCACCTCAGCACCCTCACAGCAAAGAACTTCTTCCTTATCTCCAACCTGAACTGCCCCTGTTTCGGTTTGAACCCATCACCCCGTGTCCTATCACTACAGTCCCTGATGAAGAGCCCCTCTCTGCATCCAGGGAGAGCTGGGGAAGTGCTGGGCTGGGGGAAGCAGTGGGTGATTTGGACACATGTCTCTGCGTGGATGGAACATGGGAGGGCTATGTTCCAGCATGAGGAGAGGACAGTGAGTGAGGACAGAGTGCCAGGGTACAGAGGCCACATGCATTTATCTCAGCTCTCTTTGAAGCTGAGGGATTCTTGGCAGCCCCGGGGCTGTGGAGCGCCTGCTTGTGCAGCCACACACCTTTCATCCTCCACCCTCCATCCTGGCCTGCACGATTTGGCAGCTCTGTAAGGGTTTAGCAATTTGACTTTGAACACAGTGTCATGTGTTGAAAGATGCACCTTTCCTGTGGTCAGTAACACCGAGTCCTCCTCCAGCCCTGCAAACCCCTTGCTCTGTTACCTGGCCCAGGGTTGCTGCCATCCATGGCCAAGCAAGATTTGGTAACACACCTCTTTGAGTCGCCACCTTGTCCCAGTTGCTGCCTGGTGCTCCTGGTGTGCCGCAGGGCTGACGTGTGTCTGCTGCAGTGATGCTCTGTGTTTGATTCAAGGCAAGCTGCCAATTGTTAATGAAGATGACGAGCTGGTGGCTATAATTGCCCGCACCGACCTCAAGAAGAACCGGGATTACCCTCTGGCTTCGAAGGACTCCAAGAAGCAGCTGCTCTGTGGTGCTGCTATCGGGACACACGAAGATGACAAGTATCGGCTGGACCTCCTGGTGCAGGCTGGCGTGGATGCTGTAGTGCTGGTGAGCACCCTTGGGTGTCACATTGGCCTGGGGGTGCAGGTTGAATGGATCTCTCTGGCCATGGGGCAGCAGCTTGGCCCTTACTGTCTTCATTGCAGGCTCTTTTGTGTTAGAATACGGCAATTTGTTGACCTCTCAGTCTCCTTCAGGTTGGAGTCATCACATAAGAGGGATTCCTCATGCCTGGGAACTTATATAACCTCAAGGGAGTATGTAGGGTGCATTGAAGCCGGGAATCCTAGAATCTCAGACTGGTTTGTGTTGGAGGGGACCTTAAAGCTCATCTAGCTCCAACCCCTGCCCCGGGCAGGGACACCTTCCACTGGACCAGGTTGTTCCAAGCCCCTGTGTCCAACCTGGCCTTGAACTTCCACAAATGTTTCTTGCAGTCCGTCGCCATCATCTCTCATATTCCCAACTGGTTCTGAATATTTGGCTTCTTACATTTTCCCTTCAGCAGTTTGCTGTGTGTTACTGTGTTATTCTCTTTACTCCTGATGTTCAGGAGCAGTCAGAGCTGCTCTGCTGCTCTCCCCTCCTGGCCTGTAAAGCTTTCAGGCCCAGCGTCACAGCCTGTGTTTGCACATTGTTTCCCATTGATTGTTGGCTTGCTCTGAGGACATGGCTGGGCAGCTCCACATGTGTAACACACAGCAGTGAGCTGTCAGGACCGCGGGTGTCAGAGGGCCCGAGTGCTCCGTGGTTGACATCTGGTAGTTCAGCAGCTCCCTCCAAGGGCCAGTCTGGATTCCACAAGGAACATTCACCACTTTACCTGTAGTTTGAGACGGGGCTGATGGTGTCCTGGTGGTAGAGCCACAGCAGATGTGCTGTACAAGCCACAGGTTTTAAACATGACTGGTATTACTGACATCTTTATGATAAACTGCCCTGCACAGGGAAGGTGCATTATTGTCTTGGCAGCAGCTTCTCTGGTTCTATGCTCAATTTGGGAATCCTTTTGCTCATTTAGCCAAATTAACAGAGACCTGGCTAAGCAGAGTGAGGATCTGAGGCTCTTCCAGAGCTGTATTTGCAAACTTCTGCAGAAATTGTGGTTGAAATTGGTTTTCTTTCTGTTGCAGGACTCCTCTCAGGGGAACTCCATCTTCCAGATCAATATGATAAAATACATTAAGGAGAAATACCCCAACCTACAAGTTATTGGAGGAAACGGTAGGCACGTGTTCCAGACTTGGCTTTAAATAACAATTTGTTTCTTAGCCGTAGAGGGAGCTGCAGGGATGGGAGTGAAACACTCGTCTTGGTGAATGCCTGTCAACTCAAAATGGTTTCCTCTGCTTGTGGAACAGAGCACACACACTGCAGGCACAGGGCAGTGCCCTGCTGCTGCCCCAGCTGCAATCATGTCCCACAGCACAGTGTGTACAGGCCTCTGGAGCTGTTCCACATCAGCTTTTTACACTCCAGTTTAAAATTTTGGATGATAACAATGACTGTGCTTAATGTGGAAATCTCATGGAAGTTGTCCCGGCCTCTCGACAGCAGAGTTCAGTTCTTGTCCTTACCTGGCTGGTGTGTTACTGGTGCTGCTGGCAGCCCGTGCTCTGCCCTCCCTGCCTGGTGTGGCCCAAAGGGTGCTTGGCACCATGAGGTGACCTCTGCTACCTCAGCCTTTGGGTGTCAGCGTGTTGCAGAGTAGCATAAAGGGACAACTGGGGACAGAAACTCACTCTGCTTTCACAGATAGGCCTGGTAGGAGGGGACAGCCCGGCCTGGCTCTGAGACAGGCGGGTGCCCTGGGCAGGGGGTGTTTGCAGCCACAGGGCAGAGCAGTGTCACAGTGTGCAGATTGCTTGTCTCTCTTCAAACCAGTTTCTGCTCCCCACAGTTGTGACTGCTGCTCAGGCCAAGAACCTCATCGACGCAGGGGTGGATGCCCTGAGGGTCGGGATGGGCAGTGGCTCCATCTGCATCACACAGGAAGGTGAGAGAGATCAGCTGTCTCCTACGTCTGTTCAATAGGCATTCCCTGCTGAAAAGCAGCAGAGCTGGGATGGATTTAACCCATTACAAGGGCAGTGTCCAGCAGCAAGCTCTTTCACCCTCTTCAGTCAGGATTTCCCAACACCCAGGTCAAACCTTTGGGGTGGCAGCAGCAGCAAAGGCATTTCCCAGTACTGACCGAGGCTGAGTGGAGCAGCTATAGCACGTGTGGCTTTGCCCACGCTGTGGCTCGGTGTGGGACGGGGCTGTTGGGCAGCTCTGCAGGGAGAGGGGCTTTACTGGATCCCAGTGCCCGTGGGTGAGGTGCACTGCGCTGTCTGTGCTCCCTTCCCCTCTGGCAGCAGTGTGAGTGATGCTTGGGTCTGCTGGGCTCGATGCCTTTCTGCCATTTCCAGGCTAAGATGGGATTTCGGGCTGTTGTCTGCAGTTAGCCAAAGCTTGTGTGGGGCAGTGGCGGTGTCATCCTTGGCTAAAGGCAGAGAGGGGTGTCCCCAGGGCCTGGAGAGAGGCTGCCTTGAGGACAGGCTCAGTCCTTGTGTTTAGAACCTGGCAGATGAGGTGCAGAGAGGTGGTGCAAGGTGCTGAGCCCATGAACAGCCCCTCTCTGCTCTGCTCCTTGCCACAGGAGGCAGCAGGAGGTGATGGCTGAGGGCACTGCTTTAGCTCTGCCAGTTCCCTGTGGAGCAGCCCTGCAGCTCGGCTGTGTCCTGCTTTGCCTGCCACGGGACGCTGCTTGCGGGGGGGTCGCAGTGTCAGGTCACCTTTCTAGGGAGGTTGTGGTGTGCTTGGGCTGATGCTTCCATAGCCAGAGCAGAACCAGGACACACATGTCTCACTCTGGCTCTGAGGCAGGGGACCCGCTGAGGCTCGTTCCATTGTGCAGCAGGGAGAACACCTCCAGAGGGTGTCTCTCCCCCCGGCCCTGGAGGTGGGGTTGGGTGCTGGTTTGGGGTAGGAACAGGGCACAGGCAGAATGTGGTGCTTCACAGGAGACATGGTTGCAAAGCTCTTACTCACAGCTTCTCAGGGTTTTGTCCCTTTTAGGGCAAGAACTCTGGCTCTTTGGGTTGGGGGGTCACTGGATGGCTGCTGGGGCAGGGTGAGCATGTGCTGTGCAGGACGTGGCCTCTGGCTTGGCTCGGGCTAGGAAGGGTTTGCAGGATCAGCTCTGTCCCACACCGTGTGCTCTGCCAGTAGCAGGTCACTGCTGGGGTCCTTTGTTCTGCTGCTGTTCTTCTGTCTCTAAAATGTGTGTGTTTGTTTTTGTTTAGCTGCTCCAAAGATCCCTCCAGACCTAAAGTCCCACAGCCCCAAATGCCCTTCTACTGTCACGGGCACCTATAGTAAGTCACTTGCCCTGTTCCCAACCCTAATTACGTGTCTTGAAGCAGGACCCTGATTTGGCTGCACATGGCCCTACTGCTTGTTTGAGAATAATTTAGCTGTAGATGCACTTGGGGTTTTGTGGCTTTGGATACTGGTTTTGAATCTGAAATGGAAGCTGAGAAGCCTTTCTGAGTTCCTAAAGCAGGGTCTGATCTGTCAAAGCCGAGGCCACTCAGGCCTGTCCATCCTCCACTCCAAAGTAGATAGGAGCCTGAGAGGGCTTTCTGACTGCACCTTCTGGATCTGTAGCTGGGCATGGCCCTGCTGATCCAGTGCTGGGAGGTGATCCCTGAGCAGGCCTTGATCCTGCTCGAGATCTGGCCAGTTACTGGCAAAGCTTCACTTGAAGCTCACTCCCCTGGGGTTACAGAGGGACTGAGCTGCTGTTGGTACCATGGCAGTTGTGTACCACAGCCACATCTTTCCCCACAGACCTGTGGAGAGAAAGAGCTCTCCCCCTGCCCAGCACAGGGTGCAGCGCTGCCTGCTCTGCACTTCTCTGATGCTACCCAAGCCCTGAGTCTTGCCCTTTACTCCTTGTTGTGATGCACCTCAAAGGGAAGGAGGTTTCTGTTGAAGATCCCAGAAGGTTTTCTCTAGCAGACGATCCTGCAGGGCTGCCCTTTGCAGATACCCTAAGGAGGACAAGCCCTCACCCAGCCCACTCGGCGTGTGTGCTCTCTGAACCCTGCTTTGGAAGCCTGTGCTCGGGCTGTGGTGCGGGGTGCTGGGTGCTCCCAGCGGCCCTGGGCCAAGCTGCTCCTTAAAGGGCTGGTCTCTGTGGTTGCTCCTGTGAGGTTCCGCAGGCCCTGCACTGTCTGTGGCACAGTCCCATAGACCCTGGACTCTGTGTACTCCAAAATCAAGTGCTTCTCTCCCCAGAGCTCTTCCCCTGCAGCGTTTTGCAGCTTTAGCAGTGCGGTACCGAGCGAGACCATCTCTTTAAGATTCAGGGCATCCCCGTTGCCGCTGGCGGACTCCCCCTGCCTGGCTGAGCCTTAGCTTAAGGCTGAGTTTTGGTGCATTAAACTCAGTGTTTTCCTGCTCTGGACTCTGGCTGCCCTCTCTCAGAGCTGCTGCTGAGCACTGGGAATGGAGCAACCACAGACTCTGGCCTTGGCAAACCTGTGCCAGGGCATTGTGGTGCCAGGCAGGCTAAACCTCTCCTGGAGCTCACTAATCCTGCATGGCCATAACCTTACCTGACGTGCTGGACTAACCATGACCAGAGAAAAGGCTTCCAGTTAACTGTGGGGAAGGGAAGTCACCCTGAGAGAAGCTCCTCTCAGTGTTCTCGCATGCCTGTGGCTGACAAAGATGTGCCCTGTGCTGGTTTTCCCTCGTGTAACGGGAAGCCTCTAACTGGTGCTGACTGGGAAAAGCAGGTAAATCCACAGCTAACAACTCCCTTTCCGTGGGGCAGCTAAACCTGGCAGGATCCTGCAGGGCAGGAACATCATAAATTATTTCCCCAAAGCCATCAAATCATCCTGCCCAGTTCCTTTCCCACTGCTGCATGTGTGTTTGTGTGTGCAGATGTCTATATATATACATATATACACATACCAGCTCTCTCCCAGCCAGCTGCCTTGCCGTGCAGGAAGCACTTCATACAGTGCTGGGTATCCAGAGATGGGGTCTGGCACTGCTGTGAGGGAGCGAGTGGTGGGACATGTGCCACGGATGCTCTGGAGAGGGGCTTTTGAAGTCTGCTCCGCTTCCCTCCCGAGCTCCCCACACGTCTGCTGTGCGCCAGGATGAGCCGGGACTCTTGGCTGATCCCAGGCATTGGGTCAAAGACCCCAGTCCCAAGGTCACCCGCAGCGTTTCGGAGTCAAGAGGCCATGAGGATGTCCCAGCAGGCACCTCCTGGGCATCCACGTCTCCTGCAACTCGGCCTAGGGAAGGAGCATCCAGGGATTTGCGCGTTCCCGAGTGCTGGAGCATGTGTGTGCTGGAAGCCTGAGGGGCCTGCTGGGGAGGGGACGTGGTGCTGTGTGAGAGCTGACCCTGTCCCTGCTCTCTCCTGCCCGCAGTGCTGGCGTGCGGCCGGCCCCAGGCCACCGCGGTGTACAAGGTGTCCGAGTACGCCCGGAGGTTCGGTGTCCCCGTGATCGCAGACGGTGGGATCCAGACCGTCGGGCACATCGCAAAGGCGCTGGCGCTCGGCGCCTCC